ACTGACCTTGAGGTCGAGTGCTTGTTCTACAGGGCCAAGTTACCCAATAATGAGTTACCTAATAATGATCCCTCTCATCCTCTGAGCTCTTTGTGCATAGATGGATCATAGAAGAGTGTTTGGGAATCATCTGATCTTTGCTTAGACTTGAGTGAGTCACTCAAGTTAAAAATGGGTAAAATTAACACAACAGTCTTAAAGTTGGAAGGAACCTAAAGGTCATTTAAGTCCCCGTTTCTCATGTAATTTGGGAATTCCTCCTAGAGTACTGCTGACAAATGGTCACAGCTTCAGCATTTCTGACGAGAAGGCCTTCTCTTCCATATTTCTCAGAGAAACTTTCTTTTATCCATTTCTAATAAACTGATGACAATGAGCTCTGCTATGCCTTCTTTTTTGATGCCACGTAAATTGAGTCTACTTTTTCTCCTATAATTAAAGCAGTTTTTCACATTTTAAGGATGTTATTATGTATCCTCCTAGCTGAGCAGGTTCAAGCCATGAAGACTTTAAGTGTTTAATGCCTATGTTTAAAGGCATTATGAGGGAAGAGGTAAATTTCCTTCCAATACTGAACCTTCCATACTGTTGTTTGGGTTCTGTCTGACTTCTCTGGCAATTTTTTTCTTATCATTTATGTACATGGAAATTTGGTACAGTATTTTTGGATTTTTCTTCTGCCTTTTCCACTCTGGACTGAGTGTTCATAGTTCAGAGCTTAGAAACCTAAGAAACCCAAAACACAAAAATCATACTATTGGTTTGGGCAGTTTTGTGGAGGGTATGGTTGCTTATTGTTACATGACCTTTTATCGAACACACCACACCCTACATTCCTAACTGCTTTAACAATCTCTCAAATATTCATTTGCAAAACTTTTAGCCCATTACCATTTCCTCCCCCTTTTTTGGTTTAATTTGTACATTTTAAGACCTTTTAACTTTTCTTCATACATTGTACCCTAGTATTTGAACAGAACAAGGAGACACTGAATGGTTTAAAATCAGGAAAGGAGTGTGCCAGGGTTAGATTTGTTACCATACTTATTCAGTCTCTATGTTGAGCAAGGCACTGTGGGTTAATGCACCAGACTGCAAAGCCTTTGGAACTGCAAGGTTGGCAGTTCAAGCTCACCAGTCACTCCTCGGAAACCCTATGCAGGGTCGTTATAGGTTGGAACCAACTTGACAGCACTTAACAACAACAACATATTGAGCAAATAATCCCAGAAATTGAAGAAGCATGGCATCAGAATTAAAGGAAGGCTCATTAACAACCTGTGATATGCAGATGATAAGCCTTATTTGCTGGAAGAGAAGAGGACTTAGTGATGAAGATCAAAGAACACAGCTTTCAGTATAGGTTGCACCTTAATGTAAAAAAAAAAAACCCACAAAAATCCTCACAACTGGATCAAGAAATACTATCATGGTAAATAGAGAAGAGTTTGAAGTTTTCAAAACTTCATTTTGCTTGGATCCACCATCAGCACTCATGGAAGCAGCAGCCAGGAAATCAAATGACATATTACATTAGGCAAATCTGCTGCACAAGACCTCTTTAAATTATTCAAGAACAAAGTTGTCAGTTTGAGGACTAACGTGTGCCTGACCCAAGCCGTAGTATTTTCCAGTCACTTCATGTATATGTGAAATTGGACAGTGAATAAGGAAGACCGTAGAAGATTTGAAACATTTGAGTTACGGTGTTGGAAAGAAATGTTAAAAGTACCAGGGACTGCCAGAAGATCAAACAAATCTGTGTTGGAAGAAGAATAACTTCTTCTGAGAAGGCTCCTTAGAAGCCAGGATGTCCAGACTTCATCTCTCATACTTCAGACATATTATCATGAGGGACCAGTCCCTGGGGAAGGATATCATGCTTGGTAAAGTAGAGGGTCAGTGAAAAAGAGGAAGATCCCCTGCACACACACACCCAACGAGAAGGATTGACACAATGGCAGCAGCAATGGGTTCAAGTGTAGTAGTGATAGTGAAGTTGGCGCCGGGCAGTGTTTTGTTCTTTTGTGCATAGGATCTCTATGAGTTGGAACTGACTCACTGGCACCTAACAACAGCACCTATCATTGGTGGTACAAATGGTTTGAGCTCGACTACTAACACAAAGGTTGACGCTTCAAACTTACTCAGCAACTCTGCAGAAGAAAGGTTTGGTGATCTGCTACTATAAAGACTACAGACAAGAAAATCCTACTCTATAATATCTGGGGTCACCATGAGTTAGAATTGACTCAGTGGCAATGCGTTTGATTTGGGAGCTTTTTATTATTGTATTTAGGAGTCTCTGGGTGCTACAAATGGTTGATATACTTGGCTACTAACCAAAAGGTTGGAGATTTGAATCTACTCAGAGATGCCTCGGAAGAACTGATTGGGTATCTACATCAAAAAATCAGCTGTTGAAATCCTGTGGAGCACAGTTCTGCTCTGACACACATAGGTCACTGTGAGTTGAAGTTGAGTCAGGGGCAGCTGTCTGGGTTTTTTTTTTGTTGTTGTTGTTGTTGTTTTAATTGTTCTTGGTGGATGTTCCCAGACACATAGATACACACGCTCCACACTCACAAACAAACAAACAAAATGAACAAGTATGCTTCTCTCCAAATGTTCCTATTAACCTGAAATGGGAAATTTTTTAAAAGTTCTAAACTCAGGGGTTAATTAGTGTTGACTGGAAAGAATTGCACCACGGCTTCTGTTTGGTAGGGAAAGAATATGGAAGTAGAGTGCCTATTCTGCTTCTAAAATATATCAATAGTGTGTACCTTTTGGAGTCCATGCATGCTGCAAATGGTTAACGTGTTTGGCTGCTAACCAAAAGGTAGGAAGTTTGAGTCCACCCAGAAGTACCTCAGAAGTCCAAGTAATGTACTTCTAAGAAACCAGCCACTGAAAATTCCATGAAGTACAGTTCTACTCTGCTACACATAGGGCTAAGGTGCTCTGGTAGTGTAGTGGTTATGAATCGGGCTGCAAACTGCAAGGTCAGCAGTTCGAAACTACCAGCTGTTCTGCAGGAGAAAGATGAGGAGTTCTGCTCCTGTAAAGATTTACAGCCTCGGAAACCCTGTACAGGGTTGCTATGAGTCAGAACTGACTCCACGACACACACTACCACCACCACACATAGGGCTGCTATGAGTCAGAGTTAACTTGACAACAGTTGGTTTGATCAGTGTGCAGGTCACCAAGCCACTCTGAGCATTTCATCAAGTATAAAATCAGATGAATTCTGCCTCTTCTGCCAGGATTTTGGGAGTGCTTTGCAAACAAAATGTTTACCATTAAAACATTAAAGTAATTATATCATGATTTTGAGCATTTATAACATTTAATAAAGTATGTCTATATATTGTGTTGTTTATAAAATATTGATGATATTAGATACTTAAGTTATATATCCATTTACAGCTCTGGTAGCGTAGTGGTTACAAATTGGGCTGCTATCCTCAGGGTCATCAGTTTGAAACTACCAGCTGTTCTGCAGGAGATGAGGCTTTCTGCTCCTGTAAAGATTTACAGCCTCGGAAACCCTGTACAGGGTTGCTATGAGTCGGAACTGACTCCATGGCGCATAACAACAACACAGTCTCAGAATTACAGTAACTGGTCTTCGTATGAATGGATAGTAAATAAATATGTAACTTGCATATTGTTATTGTTTGTTATTGTTGTTAAGTGCTGTTGATTCTGTTCTTACCCATAGCGACCCCATACAGGATTTCCAAGGAATGGCTGATAGGAACTAACTCAACTTAAAGCGCCGACCTTGATTGTTGTTGTTCAGTGCCGTCAAGTCAGTGCTGACTCACAGCAACCCTGTATAGGGTTTCCGAGGAGTGGCTGGTGGGCTTGAACTGCTGACTTTGTGCAGTTCAAACCAACCTTGTGGTACGGTGCTTATCCTCTCAGAGGGGAAAACAAATCTCATTTCTAACCAAGGTTCTGGGTGATATTTGATGTGATATGACACTTATAGAAAAAGGACTTTAGTAAAAAGTGGATTTGTTTATGGAGAACTGAGGTTATCCTGGGTTCGTTTGGTAGAAGCATGAGCCAGGAAAATAAAAGTGTTGAAAGTAAGAGAAAAACTTTTGATTTGTAAATGATTTAAATTCTAATTCTGAAAAAAAAATTGTTAGTAAAGAGAATTTCCTAGTAAATAAATGTGGAAACTTTAGTGCTAACTACTGATGTAAACTTTTGGAATCTGGACCTAATAGCTCAAGGATAATATCCTAAGGTGTTGGTTTTTTTGTTTTGTTTTGTTTTGTTTTAAGTTATAGGTGTTTGTGGTTGGGCTGGATAATGTATTAGCTTTCAGCTTCTAGCTCTACCCCTATTTCCTGAGTGATGACAAGAGCTTTGAAGTTAGGCAGTTTTCTACCATCTCTATTCCCTGAGGACTTAAATATGAACCCCTTCTTAGATCTTGTGAGGTGTGTTTTTCTTATGTACTTATTTTCACTCAAGATCACTTCTATTTGGGAATATAGAAAGCCAAGGAAACGTCCACGTCTTATAACCGCACAGGGTCTGAAGGTAATTCTTTTGCTTTATCCAATGGTACCAAAAGTTTGAGCACTTCCATACCTTGGAAAGAGTACAATGTTACCTTTCTTTTCTTTCTTTCTTTCCTTTTTCTTTATGTTTATTTATTATGTGTGTGAGAAAGAGATCTCTCAAGTATTAATCATACCTAGTAATCAGATTACCTGTGAAGTGTTTCTTTGTTTTTGTTGTTGTTGTTGCTGTTGTTAAGTGCCGTCGATTCGATTCCAACCCATAGTGACCCTGTATAGGGTTTCCAAGGAGCAGCTGGTGAGCTTGAGCCACCGACCTTGCAGTTCAAACGACTTTGCTGTCTGAGGCATTAGCCCACAGCGCCACACGGTTAATAAACGTAAGTGCAACAATTCTTACATATCGAAAAACTGACCCCTCATCCTGGTGCCTTGTGTGTTCTTTTCTGCTCCCAGGGAGTTCTGTCCAACATCTCTTCCATCACCGATCTTGGCGGCTTTGACCCAGTTTGGCTCTTCCTTGTGGTGGGAGGAGTGATGTTCATTTTGGGATTCGCAGGGTGCATTGGAGCTCTCCGAGAAAACACTTTCCTCCTCAAGTTTGTAAGTATCCGACTCTCTGCCCTCAGCATGAGAGCCAAACTCTTACCTTACTTCAGGAGGACTCTGGATATACAGGCCAGATAGGGAGTTTTACCAAAAGCACAAAATATAGCTAAAGTAATGCTTTTTCTTTTAGAGGATTCACTTGTCCCTCCACCTATCCTAAATAGTTCCTTAATGATATAACCCCCTCTCCATGCCTTCCATGTAAGTTTTTATACATGTGTATCATGCTCTCTTATCCCTAGAATACATTTAGGTCCAAGGTAAGTATATGTTTTTCTTCACTTAATAGATTTCCGCCCTCCTCACCTTTTAAAATATATGAAGTCTCTTGGTGGTGCAAGTGGTTACCACACTCTACAGTTAGCTGAAAGGTTGGTGGTTTGACTCTACTCAAAGGTGCTTCAAAAGAAAGGTCTGGCAGTCAATTTCCAAAAACTCAGCCATTGAAATTTACCCTGTGGAACACAGTTCTACTCTGACACACATCGGGTCACCGTGAGTTGGAGTTCGCTCAAGAACCACCGGTTTGAACTTTTTGGCCCTTGGTTTTAAGCACTGCATAAGCAGAGGACTAAGTTAGGTAGTTGGTTTTTCTGCTCAAGCATAGCACAGTGTTTATGACTTGTTCAGATTGAAATCTGTTAAATAGCAGGTTTTGATAAATAAGAAGAAACAATAGAAGGTAAATTCCTGTAGCCTCTGTCAGTATAAGGTTCATGTTTGTGTGAGCAGCATTAATTTTGAGAGGGTTAGGTGTGATCACTGTTAGCCTGCATATTTGTGAAGGAGAGATTTTTAGAAGAGGTATAAAGATGTTCTTTTAAAAAAAAACTTTTATAAATAACATACTTACGTAATTCTTAAAAATAAGAAACAAAAGAGTCTTCTATAACTAAAAAAACTACCAAGAATCATAATATCCTCCCCCAGATACACTTGTTAAAGTATTAAAGGTACAGAATAAAAAGGAAAAGCCTTTTCTTTAGAGATTGCTCAGAAGGAGAACACAATGGCCTAGGCTTACATATGTTTATCTCAAGTAAGTTTGGCCTGTTTGGTTGGTGTCACTGAAGGGCAGCTGATGTGCTTGTCACTATAGAGCTTGGTATTCCAGGGGTATCTGTAGCCTCCATTCCCCCATCCAAGAACAGGGAAAAGATACAAAAGAATACAACATAGGGGTTTCTGGAGAACAACAATGCCAGTGTAAAATCATCAGTGTAGAATCATTCCCAGCCATCATGGTCATAGTAACAAGATGTAATAGAACTGGTCCCAACAGCCATGGAGTATAGGATTCTGCCACATCTGCTTCTGGTTTCTTCTCTTGGACATGTGTAAGAAGAGGAGCCTCTCTGTGCTCTACACAGAGAATCCCATTCCAAATTTGGGCAGTTCTGGCCCAGAGAAGGTTTTTAAAGAGGCTGTTTAACCTGAAAGGTCATGTGACCATGCTAGCAGGGAAAACTAAAGGATACTTGCTCTTATGTATAATTTAATGAGTTCTCTGCTCTGTATGTTGTTGTTGTTAAGTCCGCTCTGTATAGATAGATATAGCTAAGGTGAGACTAGCCATATGCCATATCTTCTACTCTCCTACTTTGCTCTAACATCCCTTCCCCCACCGACACAGAAACACACTACCAAATAGTTTGTTCTTCACCTAGCAAAGACTTGTGGAGCCACCAAGAAAGCCTGTCCAGCTCATGACCTGCCAACCTGCCAGTCTTCTTGGCACGAATTACCTGTAAATACTGAGTTCACCTCACTGAGTCTTTCTGTAGCCAGACTGGAACCCCAGATCATGTTTGTCTGTTATCACTATTTTATCAGTTTTTAAAAACCTCTGTGTTGAAGGAGAATATTGAAAGTGCCATGGGCTGCCAAAATAACAAACAGATCTGTCTTGGAAGAAGTGCAACCAGAGTGCTCCTTGGAGGCCAGGATGGCCAAACTTCATCTTTCATACTTCAGACCTATTGTCAGGAGGGACCAGTCGCTGGAGAAGGATATCATATTTGGTAAGGTGGAGGGTCAGAGAAAAAGAAGAAGACCCCAATGAGATGGATTTGGCAAAGTGGCAGCATCAATGGGTTCAAGTGTGCCAACAATTGTGAGGTTGGCCCAGGATCGGGCAGTGTTTTGTTCTGTTGTACATAGGGTCGCCATGAGTTGGTACTGACTCAGTGGCACATAACAACAACAGCTAGGAGCTTTGGTATCATAGTGGTTATGAGTCAGGCTGCTAACCTCAAGTTCAGCAGTTTGAAACTACCAGCTGTTTTGCAAGAGAAAGATGTAGCTTTCTGCTCCCATAAAGATTTACAGTCTCAGAAACTCTATGCAGGGTCACTATGAGTAAGAACTGACTCCACGGCACACCACCACAAAAGATGGGATCCCCTTTAATATGGTTTACTTGAATTTAATTTGCCTGTATTGGGCAGGCTTTTTAGTTTTATAGTTGAAGATATTTTATAAGTTTTATAAAACTTTATTAGTTTTATATTTGAAGATACCATCTTTAGCCAAACAGTCAGAAATATACATACATTTCTCTTATAAAGATCCATGTTGCAAATAAATAAAATTGTGTAATTTCACGGCTTTTTTAAGTTGTGGAGAATATGTAAAATGGCTCATCTCTGCTGAGGATTGACTTGTGTCCCCCTAAAATATGTGTCAAATGGCGGGGCTGTGAGTCTCAGTACTTTGGCAGTTATGTACTGATATACCTTGACAGTAATGTAATGATGTAATCATTCCCATGATGTGAACAGCCAATCAGCTGTAAGGGGATTAAGACAGGAGAGTTTCCCAGCAGTTTGACATGCATCGCCTGTTATCTTACAAGAAATAAAAGGAAGAGAAGTGAACAGAGAATAAGAAACCTCAGCACCCCTAAGAAAAAAGAACCCAGAATGAAGTGTGCCATTTGGATTCAGAGTCCTTGTGCTAAGAATCTCCTAGACCCAGGAAAAAATAGCTGCCAAGATGCATGGAGAGTTACAAGGAACACCAAGCCCACAGATGTTGAAAGCAGATACAGATTTTCTCCTAGAGCTGACAGAGAGCCAACACTCTGGTTTGGTTGTCTAACTTCCTAAATTGTGAGACAATAAATGACTGTTTATTAAAGCCATCAACTTGTGGTATTTCTGTGGTATGGCAGCACTGAATGACTAAGACAGAATTAGTGCTCCTCTAACAGATATATAAAATTTGGAAGTAGTTTTGGTATTGAATAATGAATAGAGACTGGGAGAGTACTAAACTGCCTAATAGTCAAAGCCTAGATTGCCTTGAAGAGACTGTTGGTGGAATTATGGATGTCAATGGCAGTCCTGGCGAGGACTCCAAAGGAAGCGACAAGCTCTAACACCAGAGGAGGCGCCAACAGTGAGAAGCAGCAGCAGAGAAACGGTAGCAGCAGAACCAGGAGACTGGCTCGAGATGGCAAGGGAGCTGACCCACAGAGCGAGAGACTTGAGTGCCTTTTGGCAGGAGACTTTCTGGGGAAGTGGGGTGCCTTTGGGGTACCTCTGGGCACTTGTCAGTGGACATGGGCTTGCCACCCCATGGAATGAGCAAGAGAGCCGAGTGCCTTCAGACTGCGTCTTACTGATATAGTGGGGTGTCTCTGAGCACTTACTGGTATGGTAAAGAGCTTTCTAACACTTGGCCTGAGCAAGACAGAGGCTAGATTGGTCCAAGAAGTGAGTGGTCAAGAGACCAAGCAACCAAGAAGCTGAAGGTGAAGAACAAGAAGAATTGGAAGCAGAGCTGCTTTGTTTCCAAAGGGTAGAGCTACAACCTCTGGGATCTCAAAGGCCCATGACTTCTGTGGTTTCAAAGGGTGCAACCAGAGCCTTCTCACCTTCAAAGAATCACACGTTCACTAACTGGTTCCAGAGTATGGGGTGTCCATCCATGAGTGTCAGGGGCGGGGAGGAAGCCCAGGATATTACCCAAAGTTGAGGGGGCAGTTATGCCATATCCAAGGGGCAGAAGAACAGGGCCTGCTGGAGTGAGGGGTTGGCTTGCTACTTAGGTGGGCTTCAGAGAGTGAGTCACCAAAAACCAAGGGAATTAGAGTTACCATCCAAGTGGGTCTGGAAAGTTGAGACCAAGGGGTCTCTACCCAGAATCCAGAGAGCACAGCCAACACCGAGAGTCTGGAGGGTGGGGCCATTGCCTATGTGGTCTTAAAGAACAAAGGATTATTTTCAAGCCTTGAATTCTAATGTAAATTATTCTGCTGGATTTTTACTTGCTTGGTGCTTGTTATCCCATTTTTTCCCTCAAATTTTTACCATTTATGATGGAAATATGTACCTTATGCCTATTTACCCCTGTGTATTTTGGAAAGAGATAACTTGTATCTTATTAGATCCAGTCCTGGTGTGGCGCTGTAGGATAAAGCACTGGACTGCAATGTCAGTTTGAACCACAAGGTAGGTGGTTCAAACTCACCAGCTGCTCTTTGAAAACCCTATATGAGGTCATTACGAGTCTGAACCAACTTGATGGCACTGAACGACAACAAGATTCAGAGATGAAGAGGAATTTTCCCCCAGATTGGAATTTGGACTTGGTCTTGATTTAAGAATTTTGTGATGATATGATTGGGTGCAAGTGTTTTATATGTGGCAAGGACATGAATATTTTGGGATCAAAGGGTGGAATGCCATGGACACACACACACAAAATATGTGTCCTCTTGACTGCACCATGATCCTTAGCAATTTGTCAGTTGTTTATTGATAACACTCACCTCCATGATGTGATCACCAAATCACTAGTAGGTAGATTAGTATGGGATGCAATACCCCTACTCAGGTTAAAACCCTGATCCAATGTATGGGGAATCTCCCTGGGGGGTATGGCCTCTATCATCTTTTATCTTACAAGAGATAAAAGAAGAGAGAAGTGAGCAGAAACAAAGGTCCTAGCTACCACCAAGAGAGAAGAGCCGGGAGTAGAGTGCATCCTTTGGACCTGGGGTCCTTGTACTGATAAACTGCAAGACCCAGGGAAAGTTTGATGCCAAGACACATGAAGCTCTCCATGATACCGGAACCAGAGGTGTTGAAAGGAGACCTTCCCATAGAGCTGACAGAGAGAACCTTCCCCTAGAATTGCAACCCAAACTGTGAGAGAATAAATAAGTTTCTGTTAAAGCCATCCACTTGTAGATATAGCAGTACTAGATAACTAAGACACTGTCCATGAAACAGAATAATAAAAACTGACCTAGAATGTTCTTTAGCAGGAAATATGGTACAAGTTAATTTCACCATGACTCTAAACATCTTTGATCCTCTGATGTAATAAACTAGCAATGCAGAGGGGAAAGTCAAGAGCTAAGGAACTATGAAATAAACAACAAATTTCCTTCTTGACTGAGACCCTCTGATGAGACCTGTGAGTGGGTCTCCATAGCTATTGAAATAGAGGAAATTAGTTTATGTGTAGATTTCTACCAAGTATGTGAAATGGATTGAATCTGAGTTCCATTTTTGAACTGTCTGTTATGTAACATTATGAGAAAATTTACCAAAGGAACTAGAAAATGAACTCAACTCTCACCAGCAACTTCTTGGAAACCTTATACAAGGTCTCTGTGAGTCGGAACCGACTCAACAGCACTTAACAGCAACAACAAGAACCTTCATGAAGGTTCGACTGAAAATCTGAAGTCTTAGAATGACTTCTGTCTCAGTGTTTTGTGTGCATACGTGCTACTTAAGATTGATCATTTCTGTAGTGTAGTAACTTGTCATATACTCCTCCCTCCCAGCTATGAACTGAAAGGTTGACTATTTGAACAGATCCAGAGGCATTATGGAATAAAGGCTTCGAAATCTGCTTCCATAAAGACTAAAGTTAAGAAAACACTCAAGAGCAGTTCTGTAATTAATGGGATCACCATGAGTCAGAATTGACTAACAACAGCTGTTTGTTTGTTTTTTCCCTCTACCCCTACCTCTCTAGAACTGTCTTGGCATTCTGGATAAACACTGTCAGATATATTGGCGTCTAATATGGCATGCCTCTCAACTTCTTCTACTCCTGCCTCCATGCCTCACCCTCCCAACATACAGATACACTCCACCCACTGTGGGGTCTTCATCCTGGCATTTGCAAAATCAGTTAAATACAGGGTCGACTCACAGTTGGTCGTTCGGTATGGGAAGCAGAGCTGAATGCATGAACACTTAAAAATTTTGTCTTCTCTAATTTGAATAAATAACTATGTTGTTTCCTTTGCATCCTGCCCCAAGTTCATTTCCCTCATGGCAGGCTGTGTGATGTCTGCTTGCTGAGTAAGAAAACAGCAGGTTGCTTCGGCTATCTGCCTCCTCAGTTACTCACTCTCCTACATCCCTCAGGAGCCCAGTGACACCCTTTTTGTCGTTGTCACCGAAAGAGATTACCTGCAGTTTGCCCTCTTCATAGCCTCATTTCTCATAGTCTATTTCCGCTACCAAAAAAAACAACACTTGAGAAGGGGTGAGAATGTGGGGTAAGTAGGAGGTGGAAACAGTTATTGGGGTATTGATATGACTAAGATGAGGTCTTTGTGTCTTCTTGGTGGAATGGAAATATCTCCAGATTTACTGGCAATCAACACATTGCCTTATGGTTTTCAGCCTTTGTTTCTGCCTTCTTGCTTTCAACATTAGCCAGAAGCTTTTATTCGGCTGCTTTGGGATCTTATTTAAGTGTTTCTTGAGACTAGTGCTTCATAAAGGAAGAATAGCACAGCTAGCATTCCCAAGAAAGTCCTCAAGCCTGTGGTTTCATTTTGTTTTCATGATGGGAAAATGTTTTAATGTCTCAGTCTCCTTTCCCCTCGCTACCTCTGTGCCCTCTTCATCTAAGATGAACACGTTTGCTATTTCACCCTGTACTGCAGGTGCAAAGGGGAGTTAGAGCTGTGTGGCTGGATCCATGACACGAATATATTGCACACAGAATCAAGGCCACCGTAACAAATGACAGGCGGTCTTAAAATATTGGGATAATCTATCTTTCAGCGTTACAAAAGCTTCCCAGAGGTAGGGGCAGGTCATTGTTCAAGCATCTGGCAGTGCATTAATCACAAGAAATTCATTAGGCCTTAATGTGAGTCTAATGAGAAATTCCTATGATCCATGTTTGCTATGGGCTTTGTTGGTTAATTACCAAATGGAACACCAGAGTCCCAAAAATGTGATTATGGAATGATTTTTTTTTTTTTAAGACCCTTTCTTAGATTGTAATTTTCTATTAATGAATCTCAAGAAATGTAAAATTATCTGCTTTGGAGCAATGTAACAATCCAGTATAATTTCTGGCCTTTTTAGAGAGGAACCATGTAACTATCTGTGGTCTAAATAACCTGTATCACCATTCTATCTTTTCTCTTAGTTTTCTGTATTCCTGGGAATTATTTTCTTCCTGGAGCTCACTGCTGGGGTGCTGGCATTTGTGTTTAAAGACTGGATCAAAGACCAGCTGTATTTTTTTATAAACAACAATATCAGAGCGTACAGGGACGACATTGATTTGCAAAACCTCATAGACTTCACCCAGGAGTATGTAAGTATAAATTTGGTTTATTTGTTGCAAGTTGAGAGCTTTCTTGGAAGAATGACCCTCATGTACACTCGTCCTGGCTTATGCATCCACATCTGCCCACTAGAAACCTACCTCTGACTTTTCTGCATGTCTGTTTGTTTCCTTGTTTCCTTATTGTTTTCTGTTGTGCTGTATTACTTAGGGGCTTTGTATCTTAAATGGGAATATCCTCATTTCATTATTTCAATTTGTATTAAGTTAGAAGAGTAAAGAAAACAATTCTTGAGCAAAAACGGTTATAATCACATTTTCCCTTCCCTGTGGACATTTGAAGAACATTGTTTTGCTCTAAGTTTAAAATCTTATTTGCTGATTAAATGCAGACACTTTCTGGCCCATCCCTGTCCCTGCATCATTTTGGTAACCCTCTACAGTTCACAACTTACAATAATATACTTAATCAATAGAATATTTATCCACAGAGCTCCTAAAAAATGCCTATGTAAATATTATTATAGCTCATGCAGTTAAAGTTAAAAAAAACCAGAAATGTCTAAGCCCTTCCTTAAAAAAAAAATAAGGAAACCAAACCAATTGCTTCTGTTGGTTCTGACTCCTAGTGAGTTGTTTATAATGCTTATAGAACCTGTGCAATATCTGAGCATTTCTATGTGATGGCTTCAGAGAGTTTGTCATTGCCGAGGGCCACGCAGTAAAATAGCAAACGCCTTGTTTCACTCCATAGGCAAAACAGCATAAAGGGGTCAGAAGACACAGATCAGAGTAAGTGGCCCTAGACACATCCTTATTTCCCAAATAGTAAAATGGCAAGAATAATAGCTACTGTCTAACTCATAGGTTGCAAGCAGTTAATGAGCATAACTACTAACCAAGAGGTTGGAGTCCACCCAGCAGTGCCTTGGTAGAAAGACTTGGCAGTCTGCTTCCAGAAGAAAAATCAGTATCAGTAAAAATCCTATGGAGCACAGTTCTAGTAAGCCATACATAGGTCAACATGAGTAGGAACTGGCTCAGTGGCACCTGATTGTTGGTTTTAACTCAGTTTAATAAAACATACCTAGTTTTATATTAGGCTTGAGGCATTATCCTTTAACTGGAAGGTTTTTATTTGCGTATCCTGGACAGACATGATGGCAACCGTCAGTGACACTACGGTTTACCAGACAGGGCTGGAGACTATAGGATACTAGCAGAAGCCCAGCAGACCAGTGGCCTTTTGCTTAGCTTATAGCACCAGCTGGGCTTTCCTGTGATACAGGGAGGAAATGGTTGTATCTGCTTGCCATGAGGGAAGCCACCCTCCCTCGTTAGACACTCAGAGCTGTGCTATGTGCTGTGTCGTTGATTTGGTTCCGCATCTCAGCAGCAATTGCCCTGGAGAAAGTTGTACCTCAGGTGTGAAATTAAGCCCTGTTTCATCTCCTCAGCAGCCCTTACTGTTTTATTTTAGATCATAATGGATGCAAGCTCACACCTTCCCAAACATTATTCCTGTCTAGGTTGCATGACAACTCTGATGGAGCACTGTAGACAGATCTTGCAAAGCACAATCCCAGCTCTCAGGAGGGCCAGACGGTTTTGAAGAACATGCGTATACACATTCTCTTGAAATACTGTCTGCTTTATATGGAAATACTGTTATTGCATGTGATTTTCTTTTGCTGTCATGAAATTTAATGTTTTGAAATAGCTGTTGGCCTGGAAAGACTTAACGTGGTCAAAGCCTGCTGCTTATTTAATTCAGACAGAGACAGTCCAGCCTGGGCAGGGAAGACAGAGCTCATAGAACAGTCCTTTGGAGAGGTCTCATTCAAAACCCTGACGGACAGCTTTATTGTATTTTACTTAGATGATTTGGTCTTTTCATTGAAAATGTGAATTCGTGCTTTTGTTTTTAAATTTTTGTTTTCAAATGTAAAGAGTAGAAATGGATATATTATGAAAAATAAGTCTCTAAATCTTTGGGGACTAATGGATAAGTTCACTCCCTTGATTGTATTGATGGTTTCACGATGTGTACATAGGTCAAAACTTATCAAATTGTGCCCTTTAAACATGTCCAATTTGTTGTCTGTTATACTTAAGTAAAACTGATTTTTAAAAAAACACATTAAAATGCAGGGATCAAAATTAAGCCCCTAGGTGTTTGTTCCACAACCCCAGTTGTTGCCCCTAGACACTACCACTGCAGTTAGTTGTCGCAATTACAGGTCTAGAATTTTCTTTTGTATGCGCTGTGGGCTAATGCGGCAGACTGCAAAGCTGTTTGACCTTGCAAGATCGATGGTTCAAGCTCACCAGCTGCTCCTTGGAAACCCTAGACAGGGTCACTATGGGTCGGAATCCACTCAACGGCACTTAACAACAACAACATACACACACAACAGCTCTTGTTCAGCTGTGCAGCTCCTGCACCTAACACCAGGGGGAGCAGGGTCTGTGCCGTTCTCAAATCACCTGCCAGCATACCCTTACAAGCCTTCAGCTTTAATTACTTTGGAGGCTTTTACAGGGACCCTTTAGGTTCATTTTGGCTTAAAAATAAATTCTGAAACAGAAGAGATGGTTGGAGCTGGCAGAAACTGGGTGTCATACTGGCGGGTGTGAGCGTAGGCGCCTGGTCGCCTCCAAGTCGAGATGTTCTAATTCTCTCCTGTTTGCTCTAGTGGCAGTGCTGTGGGGCTTTTGGAGCTGATGATTGGAACCTAAATATTTACTTCAATTGCACAGATTCCAATGCAAGTCGAGAGCGATGCGGTGTGCCATTCTCCTGCTGTACTAAAGATCCCGCGGTAAGCAAATGCCAGCTTACTGTTGGCCTGCTCTGGGCATCACACCGAGAGTGGGATCTGGCAGTGGGTGTTTTCTTGACACCTCTTTTTACCTGCTGAAGTCTAATTGTAGCTCCTATAAGGGTAGAGAGCTGAAATCTTCCCAGTAGGTGTTATCATCACGAACATTAATTTAGCAGTAGGTGCTGGTTCCTGTTCTAAACCTTTATGTGCGTTGGCTCATTTTAACTCAGAACATTCCTGCTGGTAGAAACCACCATTATCCTCCTTTTGCAGGTGAAGAAACCAAGGCACACAGGGTTGAAGTAAGTTTCCCAAATTCATGCTGCTAGCAGGAGATGGAGTTAAGCTTCAAACTAGACAATCGACCTCTATTACCTGTGTTACTTCCTGTTTATGAGGACAGGCTCATATATGAGGTCTCTTCACTGGTTTGGGGTTAGTAACCCTTGGCTTCCTGGCTTAGTTCTGGAAAAAATACTAGAAATAGAAGAAAATATTAGAAATAAAAATACTAGAAATTGAGACAAGGCCTTAGATGTAGGAAGACCACAGCTACTCAGAATCTTAAGAGTTGTAATGATGTTTGTGTTTTATTTTTTAAAAGAGAAAAGTACAAGACCTATCTATAAGCTACTCCCTTTTACCATTGGTTTGATTATATTTGGGTCAGATCATGACCGGTATATAGAATGTCATAAATTGTAACTCTCTCATTAGATGTTAAAAGCCAGAATTGGATGTTAGGATGACAGATGTGAGACATTGGTCCTTCACTTGACCCTAACTACTCTTGCCCTTCAGAGACTTTCTAGTCTGGACCCTTTGTTCCTAAGTGCCCTTCCCCATCCCCCCACAAGACACCCCTGCCCCCAGCGAGTAGTGCCAAGTGGATTCTGATGAGTGAAGTTGTGGTGGTCCTCCTGCAGGATAGAAGGTGTGGGTCTCTTTTGAAGGAACCATGGTCTTGGGGTGGATGGGAAGAACTTCTCTGTAGGTCTCCATAGCCCAGTGCTCATCATGGGCTCTGCCTGGTCTATTTCTCTTAGTCTGGAAGAGGAGGCTGAGATGCACTAAGAAATGTGCTACCTGGGTACTGAGATCTGGCTAAATCTTGAGTGGAACTAACCTTGGCTACTTGCTAATTCTCCTTGGGTCAATCTTAGGAGGGTAGAAGGCAGGAGTGTGCCCAGCAGGGAGCCCACTGTACCCACTGCAGGCAGTCTTGCCACTGGTCAGCCTCTGAATTGTCTTCCTCTATGTCTAATTCTGCCCTACGGTAACACTGCATCAGAAGAATCCTGAAAGTCCTCAGAACGCATCACACCTCCTCTTTCAACTACAACTCTTTGGGCTGGAGACATTGCGTTCCTTCAAGCTCTAAAGTAACAAATCTACCCCATGCCCACAGAAGGTGAACATAAACAAATCTAAACAAAGTGGAACCCACATTTCTGACCATACCCAGTGAGCTTTCAAGCTGTCCATGTGATATGTAGTCAGAATATGAGTTTGTTTTTTCCCTGATAGAGTAATCCATGCACATTAAAAATATGTCCACAATATAGAAAGTATGTTGATTATAAAGTGGAAGACCCCACAAAGGCCACAAATGAAGATAGCCATTGTATCCTGTAACTATGGATTTTATCTCTCTCCAGTTTCCAATCCCCATGACCTGCTCAAGGTTATTAACTTTGAGTCTTTGGGTTTCTCTTGCTTAGTGGATTTGCACTTTCTGATACTACCTGAGCCTCAGGTTTCCTCCCTTGTAAAAATAGAGTTTGAATTTTAATACCTACTTGAGAAGATTGTTCTAATAATTACTTGGGCTAATGTATATGAAGTGCTTACACAATGCCTGCAAACACGTCCATGCTCCAATACACATTTTACTGTTGACCCTTAAGGTCTTCTGCTACATTCGGCAGCTTTCTTTCTTACAGAGTGAACGTCACTTTTCTGTTTTCTTTCTCCCCCAGGAGGATGTCATCAACACTCAGTGTGGCTATGATGCCAGGCAGAAACCAGTAAGTAGAGTCTTAGCACAAACGGTGTATGGAAGAACCTTTGACTATGCAGGATGCTGTGGCAGGATCTGTGACACTGTGTTCTTCTCTTCCCGTATAAAGGAAGTTGATCAGCAGATTGTAATCTACACGAAAGGCTGTGTGCCCCAGTTTGAGAAGTGGTTGCAAGACAATTTAACCATTGTGGCTGGTATTTTCATAGGCATTGCATTGCTGCAGGTAAGACAAGGATAAAAAGAAAACATCTCTTGCTATCAAGCCGATTGCAAATCGCAATGACACCATGTGTTATACCCTAGAACTGCTCCATAGGGTTTTTTCAGATGTTACATATTTTTAAATAATCCAACCCATCGCTGTTCAATCTATTCCAACTCATGACAACTTCATGTGCTACAAGCATATGCTCCATGGTCATGATCTTTAAGGAAGCAAATTTTTAGGCCTTTCTTTAGTGGTACCGTTGAGTGGATTTGACCTGCCAACCCTTAGGATAGTAGTCAAATATAAACTGTATGTGCCATCCAGAGACTTGATGAGAAAGATATCATGAAAATGGTGCCTTGAGAGAGCCCTCACCAAGACAGGAGCCTTGATTAATCACCTAAATGTCACAGTTTGAAAACCCCACTGGAGGGCTGGGAAAGAGACCTAAATGATTTGGGTGGCCTTTGTTATCGCTCTGATTTTAAATGCTAGTGTACTGAAATGCTTTAGGAAACCTTTGTTCCCTTTGAAGATGGAAGATTGATTGGGTCAGTAGTTGCCTGCTGGCACTCCAGCATTCCCTGCATTGTGACAACTGGGGCAGACATGAGTGGTCAGAAGGAGGTCTCAGTGTCAAGGGGAAACTAGGGCTTCAAGATTTTCACAGTGATGCTGTGCCCTTTTCTCTCTCTGGACCACTTTTCCAAAGTACCAGTGAGGGGAGGAAGTACCTACTTTCCTTCCTGGGCAGTCCCGAGTGCTGCACTCATCCTGCTGTGAAAATATGATACTTATTATGATGGAGGGTCAAAAATGGGGCACGATGGTAGAAAGAAACGAAAGAAGAGCTCAACAAATGGAAAGGTATCCTACGCTCATGGATTGGAAAACTTAATATTAAGTTTAATAATATTGGAAAACTTAATATTATTAAGATGGTAGTGCTCTTCAAACTGATCTACAGATTTAGTCCAATCTCTATCAAAATTTCAACTGCCTTTTTTGTTGTTTGTAAAAGAAGCTCTGGAGGCACAGTAGTGAACTGTTGAACCAGTGCTAACTAAAAGGTAGGCTATTCAAACCCACTAGCCACTCCATGGGGAAAAAGATGGGACAGTCTGCTTCCATAAAGATTACAGCCTTAGAATGGGGCCATTCTGCTCTGTCCAATAAGGTTGCTATGAGTCAGAATCAACTAGATAGTAATTATTTTGTTTTATTTGTTGTTTGCTTTTTCTTTCTTTCTTTAAAAAAAAAAAACAACCAAAAAACAGGACAAGGTGATCCTAAAATTCATATGGAAGAGACCCCGAATAGCTAAAACAAATTTGAAAAATAACAAATTTGGAAGACTCACACTTTCTGATTCAAAACTTACTAAACATTACATTAGTAAGATAGTTTGGTACTGGCATAGGGTTACCCATGTAGCTCAATGGAATAGAATTAAGAATTTAGAAGTAAACCGATATATCTATAGTCAGAGTATTTTTGACAAAGGTACATTTCAATAGGGAAAGAAGAGTGTTTTCAACAAATGGTACTGGGACAGCTGGATATTCACATGCAGAATAATGACTCTGGACCCCTGCTTCATACCATATACAGAAATTAACCATCTCACAACCCATTAAGGTAGCTATTATTTAAAAAAAAAACAAAAACATGAAAATAATTGCAGGATGTAGAGAAATTTGAACCCTTTTCCATTCCTGATAGGAAAGTAAAATGGTACCACTGCTATGGAAAACAATAGGTGGTTCTTCAAAAAGCTAAGCATAGAACTACTGTGGGTATAAACCCCTAAAGAATTGAAAGCAAGGACTCAAACAGATACACCAGTGCTTACTGCAGCATGATTCAAACTATCCAAAAGGTAGAAACAATGCAGAATGCCCATCAACAGATGAATGGATGAACAGGATGTGGTGTGTGCATGCAGTAGTATGTTACTCACCACAAAGAGCACTGAAGTCTTTGTATAGGTTGCAACATGCACAGGGATGAACCTTAACAACGTAATAAGTGAAATAAGTCAGACACAACAAATACTGTATGTTCTCACTTAAATGAAATATCTAGAATAGGCAAATGCATAGAGACCACAGTTTATTATTTATTAATAGGGTAGGTGGAGGGGGAAGGGAAAAATAGAAAGGTATTGTGTAAGGAATACTGACTTTCTGTTTGGGCTGATGAAAAAGTTTTGGAACCAAGTCGTGTTGATGGTTGCACAATATTGTGAATATAACTAATGGAACTAGATTAAACACGTAAAATTATTCAAATGGCAAATTTTACTTGAAGTATATTTACCACAATATAAATTTAATTCAACATGATCAAAGACCTAAATGTAAGGGCTAAAACTGTAAAATTCTTAGAAAATATAAACGTAAGTTTTCATGACTTTGAAGGTAGTCAGTGGTTTCTGAGATATGACACCCAAAACATGAGCCACCAAATGAAAAATAGACAAATTGGACTTCATCAAAATGAAAAGCTGTATTCAAAAACCATACCATCAATAAAGTGAGAAGACAACCCAAAGAATGGAGGAAGAATTTTTATAATTCAACAAGAAAAAGACAACTCAATTTAAAACTGGGAAACAGATTTGAATAGACAGCTCACCAAAGAAGACAAACAATTGTCTAAAAAGCACATGAAAAGAAGCCCCATGTTGTTAGTAATTTGTTGTTGTTGTTTTTAAGTTGCTGTCAAGTTGGTTCCAACTCCAATCCACCATGTATAGCATTTCCAAGGAGTGACTGGTGAGTTTGAACAATTCAAAACCATAATGAGATACCACTTTGTACCCACAAGAATAGCTACAATGTAGAAATAATAGTAATGACTGTGTTTATGATGTGGACAAATTACAATCTTCAGCCATTGCTGGTTGGAATATAAAATGATACAGCTGCTGTGGAAAACAGTTTGGTAGTTCCTCAGAGAGTTAATCTTAGAGTTATCTTCAGATAGTTATCTTCTAGATAGTCTTCTCCTAGATATGCACCCAAGAGAATTAAAGACATATGTTCACACAAAGACTTGTAAGTGTCTGTGCATAGCAGCATTGTTCATAATAACTGAAAAGTAGAAATAATCCAAATTGTCCATGTGTAACTGTATAAACAAGATGTATGAGATATGGTACATCCATACATCGAGGTATTGTTGTTGTTGTTGTTGTTAAGTGCCGTCAAGTCGGTTCCGACCCATAGCGACCCTGTACAGGGTTTCCGAGGGTGTAAATCTTTACGGGAGTAGAAAGCCTCATCTTGTATTATTCCGTTATAAAAAGAACAAGGACTGAGACATGCTACACAAACAGCCACATATGTGTTATTTTTGTTGCTAAGTGTTGTTGAGTTGGTTCTGACTCATAATGACCTTGTTTGTATAGCGTTTCTAAGGAGCAGCTGATGGGTTTGAACTGCTGATCTTGCAGTTCAAATAGACCTGAAGTCCAGTGCTTATGCTGCAGTGCCATATCATTCCATTTATATCAAATGTCCTGAATAAGCAAGGTTACAGAAATAGAGAGTAGATTAATGGGTGCCAGAGACTTCATGGAAAGGGGGAAATGGAATTAATGGGCCTTCTTTTTGGGTTGATAAAGATATTCTGGATTTAGTGATCACTATAGCACATCCTGGTGAATAGTTGTATATTTTAAATGAATACATTTTATGGTATATGAATTATACACAGTGGCCAGGGAAAAGCCTAATGAGGTTAGTTTCATTGTTTGACACTCTTCTTTCCTTCCTTAGATTTTTGGGATATGCCTGGCCCAGAATTTGGTTAGTGATATTGAAGCTGTCAGGGCTAGCTGGTAGAGCCCTGCTACAGGTGTTGCAAGACACTGGACAGATCCAAGCCTTCCTGACCCTTCCATTTACCGAACTGACGTCCAAGCTGTGCGGACCCCAGTCTTAGAGGCATTCTTCAACCCCATCTGATGGAGCTGCCAAGAACTTGTTTATTGGGAGGGTGGAGTAAAACTGTGACATGCTGTACACTGACAGAATTTAAAAGAAAAACCAACACAAAAAAACCCAGTATGAAAGTTCTTGCACCACGAATCCCTACTTTAGTCAGGGATTTGTGGTTGGTTGGACACTTACCAAAAACAAACAAATGAAAAATGGGGTGGGGGACCCAAAAGTACTTAACTTGCAACAGAATACCCTTGAGTTTGTGGAAAATACCATTTTGTTCTCTGCTTCAGTAGATGGAGGACTGTCTAATGGTTTTGTTCTTCGTCACAACCTGAAGAGACTGCCTTTTGTTCCAGGGCCTAAGGAAGTGTATCTCTTCTAAAACTCTGTTCTTCTCCTGGGAGGTCAGTACTTTCCCTACTGTATGTTTCAAGAAACCCTTACAAGGACCATCTCCAGAAGAAAACAACTTGACTTTGGGTTCTGATGGTGTGGTGATGCACTCGACAAGTAACTTGTGAGGGCACATGATCTATTCGGGAGTGTCTCCTTCCAAAAGGAGTTTTGTATTCCGTGTGCATGGAGCCAGGATGGTGGAAGACTTCACACTGTTGCATTTTGGCAGGCTAGGCCTTTTTGTAAGTAGGTTTGAGTTTCATTTACCAATGAAATCCAAGGAGAAAAACACAAAGCCAATGAAGAGTTATTAGCTAAATGCATCCCCTTCCTCAACCACCACCACCAAATCAGTTGTTTGGATTCTTTGGAAACTCTGGAATACGCTGTATTGAGATTCTTTTTTTTTCCTTTGTCTCCCAAAGGTGAAAGCTACCATAGTTTCTTTTAAAATTGTCTTTAAAAGTGTTTTCTTACACAGCTGGAATATTAATTTTTCTTTTGTATAATCTTACCTGCATGACCTGTGAATCTGAATCTGCCAACTCCTTTGGTGCCTCCCTACCTGCAAACATTTAAAGCATTTCTTTATAGGGCCGTGGCCTTGGGAAGCTATGGCAGGTCCTCCTCAGCCTAGTTGGCTAGAGACCAGCTGTGCTGTCACAAATGCTTCCTGGGACGCAACACACTTGTTACAATGTCCCCTTGGTGACTCCTCTGCATCCTCCCTTTCTTGCTCTTTGAGTGGAATTAAACCCGGTTTTGAAAGAGGGTTGACATGACCAAAAAGCTTCCCATTGGTTTTTTATTTTTTTATTGTTTTAGTTTGCTTTTATTAAAAAGAAAATAATGAATGGTCAGAGCTCCATCTGTTCTCTTAATGCAGACCAAACATCAGAATGGTCATAAATAAATTAGTAAAAACTCGTTGCCATCAAGTTGATTCTGACTCATGGAGACCCCACAGGGCAGAGGAGAATTGCCCCATAGGGTTTCCAAGGCTGTAATCTCTATGGAGGAGTCCTGGTGTGGTGCTGTAGGTTAATCACTGGACTGAAAGGTTGGTTTGAACCACCAGCCACTCCTTGGAAACCCAGTACAGGGTCACTATGAGTCGGTTGACACTTAATGACAACGATCTTTGTGGAAGTAGACTGCCATATCTTTCTCCCATGGAGCGGGTTGGAACTGCTGACCTTTCGGTTAAGCAGCTGAGCGCCTAACCATGGTGCCACTAGGGCTCCTTTTATCAGAATGGTAACAAAGCACAAATACTAGGGGAGAGCACTAAATGGGGCAAGTGTGATACCAGGTGAGAAACCACCTACTTGGCACTGGTGCTGCCGCCCCTGCCCTCACTCCAGTTGGGAGGGATGAGATTTGCGCCCCCCGGGTTTTAATGCATCTGGTGCCTGTGAATATGTCCACTGGAAAATTGCTCTCCTGGGGAGCTGATATTAGCCTGTGGAATGCTGGGGAAGCCACAGGCATGCTTTGCAGCAATGACACATTGGCCAACACGTAAGTGGGCTGCTACCTAGCATACTGGGTGGAAATTTAGCAAGATTTCCCATTTCAGCCCCATGTTGCATCACTGTGGCTGGTGAGTATGTCCTTCTGCTCAGAGGAAGGACAAGAATTCTTTGAAAACTCTATTGTCTCCTCAGTTTGGGAGTGTGTATGACTATGCATGTGTTGTGTGTTTGCGTCTCTGTGTAGTTAGAGAAGTTCATCCCATCTTCTGACTGTCAGATCTTTTTTCATCTCTACCACCACCACACTTGTCATTTTGTAATGGCATTCCAACATGGAGAAGACTAGAGCTATCCAGTTGGCACTCTTGTGTTTTGGGTTTGTTACCTCATTCTCCAGCATACTCCATCTGCCCAGTTGACTCAAACTCAGACACTTCCCATCCCTCACCCCCACCCACCTTTGGCACATCCAGTGAAAGGCCAAACAGCAAAAACCCAGTGAGTTTTAAATTTTAATTAATCACCCTTTATTTTTTACACTTGAGAGTGGTTGTAATAAAGGCTGTCATTAATAAACTTGGTTCTACATTACATGGAGTTATGTCTTGTTTCACTTTTCTCTTGACAGTGAAATTCTCTAACCCAGTGATTCTCAAACTTTAGCTTGCAGTAAATTTACTTGGAGCATTGTTTAGAAACTGTTTGCTGTTTCTACACAACAAGCCCAGAATTTCTGATTTCCCAGGTGGTAATCTTCCTGCCTGTCCAAGGACCACACCTTGAGAAACCCCGCTCTAATGCAGTTCTCTAAGAGGGAACAGAGGGGTAAAAGTTGATGCTGGAGTGGGAAGTCTGCACTACTGGACTAGAGTACCAAGACGCAGGGCCAGGGCTGGGAGGGCAGGAAGCCCTGAGCACTTCCTCTGCTGACCACACCACCTGGGGACCATTTCAAACACTGATCTCCAGCTTTCCCTCTAATGGTTCATTCGTATATTTTATAAAGCTTCCACTAGAATATAATTTACAAATTTAAGACTCAAGAACCTAGAGAAACGTTGACCATATTCATACCCTTTTTATAATAATTTTATAATGAGTTCCTTTGAATAGTAGTCTTAAAAACTGATAGGAGAAATACCAACTTAAATGTCTTCTTAATGTGAATGACAGGTGCAAAAGAAAAGTTACTTCTTGTAAGTTGGTTGAATATGTTAAAGGAAGGCACAACCATTTTAATGTTCCTATCATTTGAATTGTGGTTTTGATGAAGAATATAGAAAGTACCATGGATTGCCAGAAGAACGAACAAATTTGTCTGGGAAGAAGTACAGCCAGAATGCTCCTTAGAAGCCAGGATGGTGAAACTTAATCTCTTGTACTTTGGGCATATTATCTGACAGACCATCCCCTAGGAAGGGATACCATGCTTGGTAAAGTAAAGGGTCAGCAAAAAAAGAGGACGCCCTTTAGCAAGATGGATTGACATGGTGGCTGCAACAATGGGCTCAGACTTAATTGTGAGGTTGGCACAGGACCGGCCAGTGTTTTGTTCTATTGTACAAAGGGTCACAAGAGTCGGAACCGACTCAATGGCATCTAACAAGAACTACGTAATAGTCTCAGAACTGTTCTAAGACTTTGAGAACCACTTTGACTTTGTTCCCTTGGTATCTGAAACAAACATGTTATTTTCACTTTAAGGGAGTTTCTCTTGAGTTTTCTTAGCTGTGCTGTAGAGATTATCTTTGTTAGGTAAATGGTCCACTTTTCTCATTGCCAAATCTAGTTCAATGAAGGAGAAAAAGTGCTGTCCAAAAATGAAAGAATGCACATTTCAAAACTGGGAAGAACTTGTTTCCTTCCCTGTTTAAGGAAATGTATGTCTATTGTTGGACCTGTTAGAACAAACATTGCTTCCATAATTTAAAATTTGAATTGAAACAGGCTGCAAGAGTGGGCTCAAACTCAGCCAGGATTGTAGGGACAATGCAGGATCAGACAACATCTCGTTCTGTCTGCAGAGCCGGAGCTGACTAGACAGCATCGATAACAATGAAAATATCAATTCCAATTTTTAAAAACTGAACTCACTCAGGAGTTAAAAAGTGGAAATTTGCATCATGCAGCACTTGAAAAAGTACTTGATTTTGTTTTCTTTCTCCCATTTCTTCTGCCAGTTAAGAAATCTTCCACTTTTTTTGTGCCCCAGGTTTTTCCTTTCCCCAAGAGATTTCTGAAAAATGTTATCTTGGCTTTTTTTCTTTTCTTTTCTTTTCTTTTTTTTAATGCAAAACGTTTTGTTATTCATGCCCCTGTTCTGTGTGGGCTGGAATGGAATAATTTTACAGTTTTATGTTGCTCCTCCCAACCTGTTTCTGGCTTGCTTGGGTAGGAGCCGTGAGAACCCCGTGGATAAGACAGTGAAGAGACCAAGCCCAGTGAACTGGCAGGTCCTCTCAGACCCTCTGTCACTTATTCCGTGAGACCCTCCTACTCTAGGGACCCTCCTACTCTGCTTAGACCTCCACGGAAGAACTGGAGTCCTCTTCATAAACTCTCTCAATGAGGCCAAGGTGCTGTTTCTAGAAAGTGCCTCCTTTCTTTGGTAGTGAGAAGTCTTGTCTTTGAACCAGAAAGGAAATACCGTGTAAATCAGTGGAAATATCGACATAAGACAGTGAGGTGTGTTTGGGTATAGGAGTGGGGAGCAAGGAAGAGACGTTGAACTTTGGACAGGTGCTAAAGCCATGTTTACATTCCCCTAAACACTCTCTTTTTGCTTTAGAGTTTGCTCTAAAAGTAGTTTATAAAATGACAATTTTTATTTGAAGTATTAAATATAGCTTCCTTTGGAGTAGGAGTCCCTTAGTGACTCAATTAAATAAATTGTTAAGTGTCATCGAATCAGTTCTGACTCATAGCGACCCAGTATAAGGTTTCCGTGGAGTGGCTGGTGAGTTTGAACCTTGCAGTTCAAATTGACCTTGCAGTGCAGCTTTATGGGCGCATTAGCCCACAGCACCA